GTATGGTATTTGGCAAAAACAAAAACAAAAACAAAAACAGACCAAAAATATGAGAAAAGGAGTGTGGGAAGGAAGGGAGGAAGGGAAGGAAAGACAGAGGAGTATCTGAAAGAAATTCTCTAAACTAAGTTCATGCAGAGCAAGAAAAGTTTAAGTGCATCCCAATATGGTGGGTTTCTAGGAAGAAGTCATTTCTCATGTCCCTTTCACTGAATGCCTCACTGGGACAGTCTTCATCTCTTCTTAGTATTCTGGAGCCAGCCAGAAAATGACTAGGCTCAGAGTACTACAGTTTAGCTCAAATCCTACTCTAACGATCTTTTGAGAGAATCCAGCTCCCGGCCTACTTTTGGATGTGAAGAAATGGGGAGTTAATCTTCATATCTTGACAAGGAATATACCCTTGCCCAGAACTCTACCCTCCCCAATACTAGAAATTATGGTGTATGGTTGGGTGATCACAGGGAAATTAGTCAATTTTCCAAATTTAGTATATGGAGCTCTTCACATTTTTCCTTCTGAAAAGTTAAACAAAGCACAATACAGAAAGAGAATGCTTTCTCTTATACCTCAGTCAGGTCAGCAATGTTGTGTTTTGGTAACAGAAGTACAAAGTTTATGTTATGTCAGCCAAAAATGACAAAAATAGGTGAAATGAAATGCAGAGTAGCAAACTCACATGTACATACTCAAGTATCCTTTAGAAATAAAGTATTTCAATGCTTACAATGATAGTTTAAGAAGATATTGGGAATATACAGGCTTGAAATGTGCTTATACAATACAGTGTAGTTCTAAGCCTTTGGGTAGAACAGTAGTGTTGAGAGCAGAAAGCGAAGAGTTTGAATCTCTACCCCTTCCTGATTCTGACATGTTCATTGCAGTGGTCACAAGTAACAGAATGACAAAAGAACAAATTCTTTCCCCAGTGTAAAAAAAAAGTGATCTCATATAGAAACAGAAGAAAATCCATGATGTAGTCTTCATTCTTGTTGTTGTTAAGTGCTGGTGAGTTGGTTCTGACTCATACTGACCTGGACAGGGTTTTCGAGGAGCAGTTAGTAGGATTGAACCACCAACCTTGTGGTTAGTAATTCAGTGCTTATCTACAGTGCCACATCAGCACTCCATGATGTGGAATTAGGGATTCATTTCACTGAATTAAGCACTTACTGTGACAAGCAGAAATTAGGATCTAAGAGGCATAATCCTGCAGCTTTTGGCTGTGGGGACATAAGATTTAGGGTAAAAGTTAAAGGGACCAGAATTCCTGGCAGAAGCAACAGAATGACCCTCATTTTCAGTCTAAAGAATCACAAGAAATAGCAAGGCCATACCTCAACAATAAGAGAGCAAACAAAGGTCCCTACACTGAGGGTAAGAATCGAAATTCTATCCATAGCTTTATTCAAGAATAAGCTGTAGAGTTTATGTACATACTGACAAGTGGGTATAAAACAGGTATTCAATATTTGAAGGATGATAGAAAAGATTTGACTGAGGTTTATAATATAGCTTCATTGTAACATTTAGTTGCTCAAGCAGAATCTATTAAAAACTGAACCCTTGGTCCCGATGCTTCACTTTGTTACGTCTGTACTCTGTTCCATTTGTCTCCAAGCCACCAGGTATGAACCAGGCATCTGGAAGTGATAATCACTGGGTATACATCAAAGCTAACCTGCTACAACGAAAAGATATGCAATCCACAAACTTCAACTTTTCTGAGACCTGAAGAATTAGATGGTATCTGACTATTATTACAGATTGTTCTTATCAGGACCACAGTGATGGGCTCTGATATAATGGGAGAAATGTATAGAACACAACTTCAAATTCCTAACAAAACAAAAATAATAACACAACAACAATAATAAAAACTAGACCTATTGGACTGGTTGAAACTGAGGACTCCCTAACACAACCGAAACTAAACCGAGTTCACTTTGTAGCTAAATAACAAATTGGCTCACAAAATAATGACCCATAAGTACTGTGGTTTGTTTTTTTTTTAATGGTTGCTTGTTAAATTTATTTGTCTTGGCTACTGACCAAGGAGAACTTCATTTTCTAACTTTCTTGGTTGGTGGTGCTACTATAATTCCATTGCTAGGGTTGGTATGGTGAGTTAAGCATTGGCTGCAAATTGGAAGGTTGGTGATTCAGAACCACTAGCTACTCCATGGGTGATGGATCTACAGCTTCAGAAACTTTAGGAAGCAGTTCTACTATGTATACAGGGTTTCTATGAATAGTAGTGGTGGTGATGTTGATGGTAGTTATGTGCCGTGGAGTAGGTTCCGATTCATAGCAACCTTGTACAGCATTTCTGAGGCTGTAAATCTTTACGGGAGCAGAAAGTATCATTTTTCTCCCATGGAACAGCTGGTAGTTTCAAACTGCTGACCTTCAAGTTAGCAGCCCGATTCATAACCACTACACTAACAGAGCTCTTTGTAGAAGTAGTAGTAGGTCATATTCTCTAGACACTACAAATTCTAATATCATTACCTTTTTAAAAAGCTCTTTCTTTTTCATTCTCCAAGATCTCTGAAGATTTGACTACTGTGGGTTCTGTGAACTGAACATGTAAAGCCGAGTTCTAGTCTGATTGGCTTCTTCACGTTCAGCTCTTACACTTTAGTGAGCACTTATCACTGTACGCTCAGGCTTTGTTCTGAGTCCTTGAATCTGAGCACTAAGCCCTCCACTCTCATAGATTAAAATTAAGTAGATAAACGGCAAGCCAACCTACTTGTTTTCAATTGACCTCTTGAATTCATTGATATATGCTTGTAGTTGTTCTATAGTAATCTTCCTTCTCAGATGCTTTTCTGTTACTTTTGTTTCTTTTTCTCCTTATCATCTGTAATTCTATATATCTTTGGCAAATTTCCTGAAATGTTCTGTTTATTATTACACAGGAGTTCAGAAATGAAAATGGAGACACCAAAGAATGAAGATTTAAACCATTTTCTCCCAGAGTAATTTGTGCAGAGTACTAAATACAAGGTCCTTCAAAATTTAACAAAATTATGGTATCAAAACACTATACAATGCAGTTGAGAAAAAGAATGAAGAAGTCAGGAAAGTGCTACAGGAACAATCAAATAAGATAGATAGAGCATTGGAAACAATTCAAACCCTACAGAAAGAGGTCCAAACGATTAATAATAGAGTATCAGAAATGGCCAATACATTGAAAGGGCAAAGGAATAGAACTGAAGAGAGAGAAGCTAGAA